CCGCAGGGTGGCCGGGTGCACCCTTAGAGATAGGGTGAGGAGCTCAGTCACCTGGGAGGAGCTCAGAGTAGAACTGCTGCTCCTCCACATCTACAGGAGCCAGCTGAGGTGGCTCGGGCATCTGTTTCGAATGCCTCCTGGGCACCTTCCTAGGGAGGTGTTCTGGGCATGTCCCACCGGGAGGAGGCCCCGGGAAAGACCCAGGACACGCTGGAGGGACTGTCTCTCGGCTGGCCTGGGAATGCCTCGACATCCCCCCGGAGGAGCTGGAGGAAGTGTCTGGAGAGAGGGAAGTCTGGGCATCTTTGCTTAGACTGCTGGCCCTGCGACCTGGTTCCGGATAAACGGAGGAAAATAGATGGATGGATGGAATATGCAACAAGTCATCGAAGACTGAAGTAGTAAAGTGTTATGATTTGACTGCCAGGTTAACTTAGGTTGGCTCATTATTAATGTGGCAAATTAGATAAATTAGAAGAGCAGCAATAACATGCCAAAAAGACTTCAAATCACAGTAATGCCTTTTAACAAGATTCAAAGAAGGTTTTCACGAGACCCGGTTAGATAATAAAAAAATCACTAAATGAAAATTATCACATGTGCTTTGAGAAGCCAGGCTAACATTTATAAATAAGCACTCAGTCTAAATGTCTCAATATATGAAAGACTGCAAATCTAGAAGGTTTCAAATTCATTAACCGGCACGTGGAGCCATTCCACTGACTCCATGTGGAAACATTTTGGCTGCAGAGTTTTGGCACTTTCAATCTGCGCTTCATTTTTGGTTGTTTCTTGTTGTATAGCACAAAAGCTGAGATTACAACTCCCATCATGCCACTGTCTAAAATGCCATTTTGCATTTTCAGTTTGTGACACAAATTCATCTTGCAGTTTTTCCATATTTACACTTGGAAAACTTTACACTCAGCACAGGTTCCTTGGTCAAGTCTCAGAGAGGTGAGAAGGTTATTAAAGCTGCAGAGCTTTTGGTAGCTTTGGTAGAGGAGTTCTGGAGATAAAATTTTAGGAGCTGGTCAAAAAGGCAAAGAAATGCAATTACTCAAGTGATGTCCAGGAATTATTAGTTATTTTGTGCAATACCTTACTCTTTACAAAATACAACGAAGTGAAAGTGACTCTGAAAGTAATACACTCATCTCCCTAAAATTAGTATTCTCGTCATCGGCCGAAAAACCAAAACAGTACAATACTGACTCATAGGAACAAGACACCTGTAAAAATGAGTTAATAGTCGAGAACACAGTACATGGAGGATACATTAATGAGCAGACTGATATTAGGTGGTGTGTAAATTTGCTGTCATTGTGTAATCTTGAAAAATGAAAATGAATCTTGTCAAAGCCACAATGTGCTTTCAACTGATTATTATAAAAGCTGAAAATTTAAAAAAAATACATATAAACATTGATGTGAAATGCACCAATAAAGGGGATGACACTGCAGCCAGGAATTTGTCCTGTTAGAGCTCGAGTCATAATGTCCGAGTTGAGACAAAGGCTTGACAGGCCATGGCCTTGTTGCTTCAGAACAAAGGCAGTTGGCAAAATACAAAACTTTTGGATTCTTTTAGCCGATTAGATGCATACTGATGTTTACTTTTTACTGTGGTTCTGTGGCAGTAAAATGTTGTTAGAGCTACTTTAGTGACAAAACTACACAGCTGTCTTGATGATTCTTCATTTTCTATCTGAGGCTGCTGTGGGAAAAGCACATACGCAGACAACCCATTTCCCTATAATCCTCGAAATGCAAGAGCTACAAACAATGAGCATTTTTTTTTTTTTGCCATGTTATGTTGCAAGATGCTGACAGTAATGTTAATCACGTGATGAGCAGTACCAAGCTAATGCAATTCCAGCAAACCCCCTGCAGTTCCCCTTCTCTACTCCGTGGCTGGATCAGTGGCACCGTAATGAAATCACACACTAGATGATAACTAAAATGCTGCAAATTAAAAGTAAAGGCTGCAAACAGCTAGCTACAGTATGTTCATATATAACACAGCATGTCAATGTAAGATGCTGTGGAGATGATTGAAATGAAATCCATACCGAAGTTTCCTCAGTCCTTATAATGTGAAAGTATGGCAGCATCCTGACGACAAGGACTTTGTCTTCAAAGGTTCGAACCAGTATTTTTAATACAAACATACAGTATGTGCACCTGTCGTTTATTTTTTAATTATATGGGCTGACATTTCCTCTGTATGAAAACAAATGCACCAAATTAGTTTGGATAAAACCAGTAGCTTTGAACCACTTAATATTTGACTAAAAAGTGACATTCTTTAAAGAAAAAGTAGAAAAGGCAAAACTCTGCCCATTAACATGGCAGAGTCCAAGAATGCAAGATCATGGACTATGTACCTAGTTAACAAGTAACAGACATCTACTATACAGATCCCCACAAAGCTATGAGGGTTAAAGCAGCAAAAATCTTTTTATTAGAGGAAGCCCCAGTTTAAACAGGACCCCCCAACTTAAAGTAGAATGGAGGAGGATTGGGATTTGGAGTTCTGGTATTAATATAAGAATTCATTATGAGATTTTCTTTCACTTAAAATTAAACTACCTGACACAAATGAAGATTCACAAATCTGTGTTATACTGTGCAAACAGAATAACTGATGCATAGCTATTTGTGTCTCCTGAGCTGACATGAGATATGATGCACTATGCTGCTGCCACAAATAGTGGCTGTTTACTGCTGCTTACACATTGCATAGAAATAATCACACGAGACAGTCCACCGCAGCTGTGAACTGTATCACGTTCTATTGTGAAAAGAGAAACATATTTAACAGTTGACAAGTGAACCAGCAGCTGCATGGCAGTGTGGTGGTTGTATGTGTCATATCCTGAGAGTTCCTCTGCATGTTTAAATGGCTTTGAATCACTAACGGTAATAATATATAATAATAATAAACATAATGCAGAAAAGCATTTGCAGAATGCTAATATATCACAAGGCTGCCATTAGAAAAATGTCAGAGAGGAAAAAAAACAATTGTGGCATTTTAAACATGAAAATCTCAATGATTACAATAAATGTATAAATTGTAGGATGGGCTGGATGCCCTTTCTGATTGTATTGTATTGTATAGGCATTCATCATTTGTGTCTTCCTTCTTGTGTTTACCTCAGACACTTGTGTTGTCTGGTACTCCTGCAGCTGCTGCTGGAAGCCATAGTTTGGGCCAACAAAGGAGCGAACAGCTTTGACTGCAGACAGACACTCCTCCCAGCTGTAGTGAGTAACAGTCATCAGATAGGCCACCACCATGGTAGTGCTGCGGGACACACCTGCAAGGCTACAGCAACACAATAGATATTTGGTTGGTTTGCATATTGTCATTAACTAGCTGAGTCACTGTAGTAAACAACAGCAGGTTCTGAAAGGTTTTAAAACTGAACCTCCAGGTACTACACAGGATTAATGTTATGTCACTTGTGAAAATACCTAAAGACTAATGACTGACTTGTTCTTGTCAGGCTTGTTTTTGGTAGAGCCCTTTGAAGCACACTTTGAAAGAGACTACAACCACAGTAAACATGACTTAACCCTCCCAAATGCTAAGAAGGAGCTGGTTAGAGCTTTAGACTTAAAAACCTACCAGTGCACGAGACAAGAACCACCATTCAGGCGACATTCATGGATGAAGCTGATGCACTCTTTAAAATGTTGTAATCTGGAAACAAACAAACAAATAACAATTTCCATAATCTGAACAAACTGATTTATAACAGTTTTCTGTAGTAAGGGCATGAAGAGATATCGTGCCACGAGATCTCGCGATATTAAGATGTGATGATATTTCTTGTCAAGGTGAAAACCGTTTCACGGTAGTGGTGTACGATAATTTGGTATCGATCCGATACCAAGTAAATACAGGGCCAGTATTGGCGATACCGATACCGATACTTTTCTACTTAGAAAAGCAGCTTAACTGCTTTTGTGTAGGGCAGAGCAATGCTTCATAATTTATGAAGTGAATGCAATATGCAAATTTGAATGAAAATTGAAAATGAGAATTTTCATGATCATTGAATGATTGTGATTTCTGAATTTCAATTAGTTGATTGTGATTATGATCATAATATAAGACAGGACATAGAATTTAGGCAAATAAAAATTAATTAAGTTGAAATGTTTTAAATTAAAATTTTTATATTTTTGTTCAGAAACAATATAACTGCACAACAACTCACAGCAGGAGAAGGGGAAGGGCAAAGTGAGCATGAGCGAAGTGAGGAGCGTAGTGATGTGCAATTGAAGTGATGAACTGGTATTGAACCATTTCAGGTATGCTGAAAAAAACTTAGAAGTTTAGGGCAGTGATCATGTGAGTGGGATGGAGATTCGAAGATTTTTATTGAGAAACTATATTTTTTCACGTAACTAAGCATCTCGCACTACGAAGCTGTATCGACTGGTATAGGCACGTGATTCAGACTTGATCGGTCACCGTCTTTTTCTGCACCAAAGCAAGCTTTGGGGTTCAAGGAAAATGTTGCTTCGAGTTTCGGAGCATTGTGTCAGATGGCCATCACGAGAGGAACGGTGTTTGCACAACCACTATGGTGTAACAGGAGTTGTGTACTCAATGTAGAAAAGATAAACTGATACGCACGTATCGATCGATACCGATACCAAGGTATCGATACTATCAATCCGCCCACCACTATTTCACGGTAACAGTACGTAACAGGAGGGCAGCAGGTGGCAAGGCGGAGTTGAGAGTGAAATTAGCATTGTTGAAGATTAGCCAGCTAGTAAGGCTAGCTAAGCTAAGATGTTGCCGAGGTCAGCATGGATGTATATGGACTGCTCTGCAAGCCATAAACTTAATGCTAGTTTATAAACTCTGACGCTGAATGTTTGCCTCCTAGGTCCAGGGGAATATCGAAAACCACACGTGGAAAACCTGATCAGTGCGATTAGCGATCCAATTGATTCATTTTGAATCTTTAGTGCTTACTGGTTTCAGCAAGAGAGGGTCAAGAAGAGAAAGATGTAGGAGGAGGACAGCGGCCAACATGCGGCTGCTGTGGGACAGCTAGTGCAGCAGGGTCAAATCAGATGAAACCGACTGTGGGAAACTGCAGCTTCTCATGCATAGTTCATGCACAGTTATAAGGTCCAAAGAGACTCTTGTGAAATCATACAGGGGAGAAGCCAGTCAGTGAGTTTGGGGCAAAACATTTTACAGTGCTTATTATACTGTTCTGTCTTTTACTGCATATGATAATTAATACGCATAAAGTACAAATGAAGCGAGTCATTACAAGATGATGATTTAAAACATTTCAAAATGCATTTGCATTGTTTTGCATTTTGTGACTTTCAGTTGAATAAAAGACCATTTTTCCAGTCACATATTTCATCATAGAACATTTCTTTAAAATACTGTTAAAATATCATCCCATCTCATGAGCCCAATATCATGTATCATCTCGTCTGGTGAGCTAAGTGTATTGTCACAACCCTAGTGGTATGCAGCGCAAAATATAAAAACAAAAGTTTAGATTTACAAATAACATTAGTATTACAACTCATCAAGCCAGGAAGCTAGCTTACTTTAACTAAAGCATAGTGGTTTCATTGTTGTAAAGCTAAAAATAGATGACACATTATAGGATATGAGAAAGGACAATTTGAACTGAAACCCCTGCGTCGAGGCCCTATCTCTGTTTCAAATGTGTTGCTGGAACTGTGAAGGGTACTGTTTGACTTTGACTGTAGAAAGTGCAGGTACATCTCAAATATAGTGTCAGAATGTGGCAGACAGTTTTGATAGAATTTTGTCAGTTCTAAGAGACAGACATGATGAGCAGTGATTTTCTTCCCCCAACCACTCCATCTTGTCATGTGAGAAAGATTGGTTGGTGCTCAAACAGAGAGTTTGTGGTAGACCAGAGCACAGACAATGGGGACAGACAAGGGAAGTAGCTGTCCTTGTTTCTGTCTAACTGCAAAATTACATCAGGGTCCAGCATTCATTTATACTGTGCCTAGAAATGATCAAGGGAATTATTCTAACTTTACAACAAAATAGAGCCACAGCCCTTTCTTATGGTGGTCCATTCATGCTTAAAAGTTTCTGTCCTCCAAATTTAAACATTACACAGAGGCTGTGTCAAACTCAAACATACAGGACATTTAAGCGCTAGCAAAAATGAATAACACATGACAAAGTCTATTGTCACCTAAACCAAAACTAAAAACACCAAATAGCTGCTTATTAGAAAAGATCAGAGAAAATCTCATAATGTGACTCTTTGAAATAAAAATGAACAGAGCAGCACAATGCAGTGCAACTGTAAATATCCTACTTGTTCACTGTCAGGAAACACTGTTGGTGTTTTGCATAATCAAGAAGTGCATGGCTGATAGCGCCGTCTCCTGAGGAGCAGATGCTGGTTACTCAATAGCAGACAGAATAACAGACTGGGGTTAAAATAGATTGACTGCCCCTTTTCTTTTTTCCTCCTTCCTGCCATCCAAACTCCTCTTCAAATGATGTCTCCTCAGCACTTTCTTCTGTCTTCCTAGCACAGAGGTTTCCGGTCATCTTGTTTAATATGCAGAAAAATATTATGATGAAGATTTGAGGTTTTAACCAGCTAAATCCAGAGAATAACACTGAAGTAAAAATAAATTGCTGACCTACCGTACTGCAAAATTAGCTTCTGCAATTCTACTCTGTGGTGTGCATAAGAAATCATTGTTATAACAGTGAACATTCATACTCCTTGAAAAAATGCACATTTCAGTTTGCAAATGACTTCACACCTTCACGGTCAATGCACTCTGTACATTAAAACCATTACCAGACCTGTCATGAGAATGTTCACCAAAAAGGGGAAGCTCCAGCCCTCCATTAACATGTAAAGGATGTTTGCAACCATATAAACTCAGTGTTAAAGACAATTTCAATTAACCATTTTGTATTGGTCAAAATGGTGCTGATATCACATCACCGCAATGGGTGTCACAACAGTGTACTTAACACGAGTAACGCTGGTGACCAAGTTGGCCTTTGTTCAGCCATTTGTCCCCCACTGCTTATATACAGCATGTAACTTTTGTTTTATCTAATACGTTTTTACTTGTTCTTGTAAGCCTCTAAGGATGGTCATCATTTCAGTTATCTTCTCATTTTTTACTGCTATTATGTAAGCAATGAAGCCTAATGAGACAGTAACTTTGATTTAGTGCCATACTTGCATCCATCCTAAAATACAGACATAAAAGCTTTATGGAAGTTTAAGGTTTTTCAAATGGGGGCTCAGAGCCTGCATGAGAAAGACAGTCCCTGCTGTGAACCTTACACATGTGAGGGGCCAACAGATCTGGCCATAGGGGGCCCCCAGCTAGTGGCGAGCATGGTGGGATGGCAGTTGGCCTCACCACTCCCATCAGTCATACCAGTGATTGCCACAGAGGGGGTTTATTAAAGCCCTGGGTGGTCGAGACCAACAGCCAGATGTCACTCTAAGGTTTCTTTCCTCTGCTGCTTGAGGGAGGGATGCTTGATTGCGACAGTGTTGGTCATACACCTCCAACCCAATCCAATCAGCAATATCCAACCAAATACTAAACCTCGATTCTCATTAACTTGCATTTCACTTAACTCCATTTCCTTTTTTACCAGCTAAAGTATATAGAGTTGCTCTTCAGACCCCAGACTTCAATTTCTGCACAGCTCAAAGTCACAGATTTCTGGAAACCAACAGAGTTAACTCCAGTCTGGGCCAAAGCCCTCAACATTTCTTCAATGTATTCACATATAAACTCTGCATAAACTTACTGTCTAACATCAGTCTGGTACAAAGTTCATTTTTTCTGGTCAAGGTAGACTGGCCTTAAGGAAACTTGAATTAAGAGTTTTGAATAAGTAGTAATACCAGATCTTATACCCCTCTGACAGGCAACATGTCACATCTTCATCTACTGTGTTGTCAGCAAGTTAATTACTCATCTTCCATCAAAAACATGCCCTGTTTTACCCCTCATCTTTATTCCCTATTTTAACATGACCAATCCCTTATTATTGTAGAGCCCTTGTCAGAGCAGACTCTTCTGTAGGCCAGTGGTGTAGAGAGCAATGTGCTTGGTGTCAACAGCAGCTCTACTGACCTGTTAGCAAAGAGCTTCACAGAGACACCTTGGAGGATTTAGATGTGAAGTTTTATGCAACCCTGTTCCAAGATCCCATCTCTGCCTGTGCAGGAACTTTGAGCACCAGCAGAAGGTGCCAGTGCAGCAGCAACGATATTTTCACTCACCAGCTCTAATACTCTTTTAGAGCGATGCTCAAACCTCAGCCTGTGATTGATGCTTCTGTTGCCCGTGGCGAGTGTTAAATCCAGGATTACTGCAGCTAGTGAGGTTAAAGACCTTGCATAGAAATCAACACAAAAACTATGACTAATGTGACCACTACAAGGGCGGAGGAACAGCTCATGCCTCTGTCAACACTATGTCTGACTGAACACACTCCATTTCTCTCTCTCTCTCTCTCTCTCTCGCTCACCCACACACATACAAACACAAAAAACAGAAACTCTTTGTCAGTATGCAATATTCAGGGATACTGCAGAATTAATTTAATATTAAAGGACCTAATTGGTTATAAGATGAGAGATACTGATAACTTATTTAAACACACTGAAGCTATTGGTCTCTTTGCCCTCTGATGCACTTTAGACACAATACTGTAGGTTAAGCAAGCCATTGTTAAAAAAATCTGTCTAAACTGTCAAAAATCTTCATATAATTTTTGTGACGGTTTGTGTTGGGACATCACACCCTGGGTCAACAATCTGGAGGGTAACGGTGTTGAAACCATACTGCATGACTCATCGTGAATTCAGAAATTTGCACATATGAGGACACATAAAATCTGATTTATAGGAATCAATAGTACTTCTAATTGTTTGTGTGTGTGTTTACTCACAGGTTCTGGCTAGAAGCATCAGCTGCATGAATACAAAGGTACGTCATGTCCTGTAAAACATGTATGAAAAACTGTAACTGAAACAAAATTGTCAGAATTGTTGCGCTTGATATCTGGAGGTCACCAATTAATCATCAACTATATTTAATTTAATGACTAAAAGTATGTCCCAGGTCATTTTTGCAGATGGGCATCACTTTTATCTAATCCTATCTCTAATGAGCTCTAGTTCCTGAAGGTCTGGTATCCAGAACAATTTCTAATCTAAATATATAGTAATTTGTTATTAATGTTTTCTGGTGTTTAGGTTTATTTATTTAAAAAAATAACTACAGTGTTAATAAATCATTTCCCTAGTGTTCAAGACAAGCATTCTTAAATGTGACAAGGGGAATGTTGTGGATTTTGCTAAGGCACAATGAATAGCAAAGCTCTCTTTGATAAATCACTTTCAGCTGCTATAAATATCAGTCTCCATGCTAGGCACACAACTAATTTTGTGATGTAAAACCGAAAACTCATAGAGCAATGAACAATACTTTATTGTACCTATCTCTGGTACATTACACTCTGGTAATTACACTAGATGGGGGGGAGATAAAGAAACTTTCTATGGTTTGTGATTGTACTAGCTCCTGTCCCTAAACACTCCCAGCATTTAAACTGTCCATTCAGCCACAGAACTCTTTTGCTCCAACCATAACGCACGACTGTCCCCTGCTGGCTGATAGGACACATCACATTATTAAAGAGATGAGGACAGTGATATCAACACTTCTCAGTAAAATTTTCAAGAGAAGTACTGGTTTGATTCATAACAACTTGTCATGAATACAACATAAAGTACCGCATCGTCCACTAACCTCAAATACAGGCTTAGCATTGTTGTACACAGACAGGATATGGGTGATTCCATTCTTAGAAAGACTTTCTCTGTTTTCTGCATCTGAAAGAAAAAGACAGAAGAATATATCTCACCAGGCTGTTGCCAGTGAATTTCACACCAACAACTCTGCAAGCTGCTGCAGAACCAGGCCTCTTCTGCAACATCGTGATCAGTCTGCGGTCACTTGCTCCTGTCACTTGAACTAATTTTAGCCATTTTGCTTGTGCCAACATGATCCATCGTTGCAGCAGCTAAAGTTAGAAAGCTACAAATGCCACATTAACTGGGAGGAGGCTGTTCCAGGTTGAGGGAGTGGCACACTAACAACTGATGACTTTTATTTTATGTGAACCAACACATCTATCTTCTTAATTGTCTTTTGTCAACAATGTATTTCCATCTTTTTACTCTCAAATCTATGCTTACAGGAGAACAACTTTCAGGTACAAAATCTGATGTTTGATATTTAAAGCCATGTACTAAATATACTAAATCATTCCCAGTTAATATGGGTAAAATGCAAGTTCTTTTGTCCATATTTTTAGAAGAATACAGTGTGTGGCATTGAATGGTGTTTATAGTGGGTAGGTTCGATATAATAATGGTCCTATGCCTTTTGTGCTGAAAGCCTGACCTAACCCAGCTATTCTAGATGTAGTGAATTTACAAGCATCAAAACGAGTAACATCATGTTCATCTTACCTCTTATATTCCCAAGATAGAGTCCATCCACAACCTGGGAAACAGCAGTCAGACATTTTGCATTCAGTTTAGATATTCATTATAGTCCAGCTTCAAAAATTTCACTTGGAGCAAATGTCCTGGGTTTAACCAGATTGGATTTAAGATTTAAGGCTTAAGAACCAAGTACCAGCAAAGGAAACATTCCCTCGAGCCATACAAGGCCTGAAGCAACGGTCCATGGTTATTAGGATGAAGTAAGAAGTCGCAAGCAGCCCGCCAGTGCTGCTGTACACATCTGATTATAATGTAGTCCAGTACAACACCACCTTTAACTATGACTTCAATAATAAACATATAATTGAATTTATATATTTATGACAATTTCACAAAAAGCTGAAACATTTTGAGGTTCATAAACACAGATGTTAAGGCAGAAGTGTTGCACTGAAGTGCATACAATTGTACAGGTGTGCCCAATAAAGTGGCCAGCCAGTGTATGAGCATCAGTGTAACTCTGCATGTTAACAGTAAACCTTCATGTCATCATTCAAAAAGTGAATGGGAATCATAGCATCAAAAGTAGGTAGGTATATACAAATGTTAAGCAAACTTGAAATAAAGTATAACAATGCTTTGCAGCTTGTTATTGGGGGAGGGCGACAGTGCGGTCTTGAAGAGCAGTCGTCTCCCAACCGGAAGGTTGAAGGTTCGAATCTCAGTGCCTGCTGTCCACATGTCGAAGTGTCCTTGGGCAAGACACTGAACCCCCCGATGGTTAGCTGGCGCCGCAGATGGCTGCCTCGGTTCTGTATCGGAAACAAATTCCTTGTGTGCAACATGCTTGGTCAATAAAGGTGATTATACCTTATCCCCCCCCCCCAGATGGCCAGAGTTCGGGGTCAGCGGGGTGGATTCAGTGCCTTGCTCATGGGAGACTTCAGTAGAGTAAAACCAAGTCTTCTGATTCAGGGTGAGTCTCCCAACCCATTGGTTGTTGTCCAACAATTGTTGTAGCTCATAATGAAAGGAATTCATTTCAACTGCATCACATCTCAACCTTGCGGAAGTCTTGTTTACATATTACTGAAATAATTTTCAAAAGCATTATTTGGTTTGTTTACATCCACCCTACCATGCAGCAGGATATCAGTGTGGGACAGAGCAAAGCACGCGAGTTACAGATCAACGTTGAGTAGAGGGTCCGTAGAGTTCACCACAAAGAAACCTCAGACATAACACGACAATTAACAAAACCAAAAGCCTACCTTATTCATTCCATTGCCCATTGTGACTCTGATCCAGTCTACGACGAGGTACGGCACTTTAGTATGTAGACCTGCTAATGTTACTATTTCAATATATCCGAAACGCGACGCTGGACGGACTGGCTTCCAATTCATAAAACAGCGAATAAGCGTTGCTATCTTTGTGTCCTGTTAAACAACATTATCAAGTTCCACCGCCATGCCTAAAACAATGATGTTATGAATTCAGCCTTAACCTTGTCTCGGCTCCCGACACAGTTCCGTCATGTTGCAGCGTCTTCCGGATTGCTTTGACGTGAAACAACCGATTAATCCGGTAAGTGACATCACAGCATGTTGCCTGCAGCTCAGTTTCTATCGGAGGACTGAAACGCCCATGCTGTAGGATTACAGTCAGACAGTCTAGGATTTAGGCGTGTGCACATTATGAGGAAACCATCCCTTATAAGAGGAAATCCCTTATAAGACGTAGCGATTTTTGAATACGGAAAAACTATTAGGAAGATGAACATCCATAAAATGAGAAAAGCTGAATTCCTCCTGTAATCCTAGGCTTATACTATCTACATCCACCCAAATCCCCCAGAATACTTGCTTCGAGTCTATATAATATTGATTACCATGACAAGTACAATTAATGACATACAATTCAAGCATTCTCTACCACAAAGTATACATCTACAATGCCAATGCCAGGAAACTATAATGTTATAAACCCAGGACAAAGGTGTGGAGTTCTTGATAAGCACTATGTCCCCGACTTAGCTTAATAATCACGTTCAGATAATTACAGGGGCTTGTTAAGAATTCACACTGATAGAAAAGCTGAATGCTATTATAAAAGTGTAGGGTTGCCACTGCTGGGCAGCTATTTTTATTGTAATAATCTCTACCAATTACACTGACTAACTTAAGTGAATAGTTGGTAAAGATATATTGGGATTTAAGTTTATGAACATGACAGTTATCATTTGCTAATGCAAAAGTTGCAGCTCATAAAAAAACTCAACATTATCAGGTCACACTGTAGAGCACTTTTTCTTCTATTTGAAACACACCAACTAGACTAAATTTATATCAAATTGTCTAGTACTTCTCACCTGCCTTCCTGATATGAAAGTAACTTAAAGCCATTTTTCACATAAGTCAAAAATTAAGACAACCGAGTTAGTTTTATCAGTTTAATAGTTCAGTTTGTATGTTTATCACACACAATAACCTTAAGAGGAAGTGGTCTTCCACAGTGCAAAGACTGAGGTAATGTTGACAATTGGTAAGTACAGAATATATTCTTGTATCTCTGAGTTGATCTGCCTTTATCTTCAAGTATGTGGCATGGTCCCCTGGGTTGTTTACTTTTTCCACTGCTTGTTTTCGTAGTCCCACTTGGCTGAGAAGCCATGTACTGGATTGCTTCTCATGTCCAGCATCCTCTGCAGCTCCTTCTGTTTGTACTCTGGATCGAATGTGTGTGGGACTGGTCCATACACTGCAAACATACAACATGTTAACCCATGAGCCTAATTAGACTGCAAGCAAACAACTAGCCCAACACTGATGATGGAATTGCATTCTGTTTTTCTGAGTCTATATGTGGATAACACAAGAAGCTCTACAGCCTATATTACACATAGTTGTATGCCAAAAACAGCCATTTTCCCATACTTACCATACATTCTCTGCCATATCACAACCAGGCCAGTGAAGCCGAGGAAGAACAAGACCCCACCGAGCACAGATTTCCACTCTGATGATCCCTGATTCATCTCAGTGAAGCTCTGTTTGAAGCTGATCCGGTACACTGAACATCACAAACACAAAGATAAGTGATCATCATCTTTCATGTCTTTACTGACATACAAAACATACAAAATGATGGTGGAAAAAGTAACAGCAACCCTAGGCTTCTGATGTCACCAAACGTCAACTGGGGTGGGTGTTAGCAAACATGAAGTTCAATCAATAAAACAAGAACTGAGGTGTGAGAACTACCTTGACTTATTATAACACTCAGAATCAGTGAGCTATTCACAAGCAGCATCAGCTGTGAGCCATGCCTCGCAAAAAGAGATCTCATAAGACCTACAATTAAGAGTTATAAGCACTTTATTTGGCCAAGTATGTTACACACACAAGGAATTTGTTTCTGGTACAGAACCAAGGGAGCCATCTGCAGCACCAACTTATGTAGTGGGAATTTGGGGTCCAGTGTCTTGCCCAAGGGCAATTCAACATGTGGACTGCAGGCACTATGATTCCAACCTCCAACCTTCTGGTTGGAAGAAGACCGCGCTAGCCCCTGAACCACAGCCATGATTTGGTACTGTAGCTACCCTCCATAAAAGTCATTGGTGCCCTGCCAAGATCACACCCAGCCAAGATCACTGCAAAGACAATACAGAATGCTTAATGAAGTTTAAAAAAAAAAGAAAAAAAAAAGAAAAGAAAAACAGGTACTAGCGTAACAGCTAAAGACTTTCAGGATTCATTGCAGTTGCTTAACATCTTATGAGTCAACCATATGCAAAATACTGAACAGGTATGGTATCCATGGCAGGACACCACAGCGGAAGCCACTGCTATCCAAAAACAACACTGCAGCATGCCTGTAGTTTGCCAAAGACCACCTTGACCCTCCATAACACTACTGGGAAAATGTCATGTGGACAGATGAACTGAAGGTAGAATTGTTTGGAATGAACATAAAGCAATATGTATGGGGAAAAAAGAGAACTGTGTACTAACATGAAAACATCATCCCAACAGTGAAGTACAGCAGAGGGAGCATCATGATTTGGGGCTGTTTTGCTGCCTCTGGACCTGGACCATTTGCCATTGTGGAGGGAAAAATGAATTCCCAAGTTTATGAAGGTATCCTACATGATAATGTCAGGTTGGCTGTCCGCAAGCTGAAGCTCAGAACAAGCTGGGTGATGCAGCAGGACAATGACCCTAAATATCAAAGTAAATCTACTACAGAATGGCTTCAGAGACACAAAATCCACCTTTTGGAGTGGCCCAGCCAGAGCGCAGACTTCAACCCAATAGAGATGCTGTAGAATGATGTCAAAAGAGCTGCTTACACCAGATGTCCTAAGAATATGGCTGACCTAAACAGCTCTGTGAGGAAGAATGGTCCAGAATTCTTCCTGAATGTTGTGCAATCCACAGCTAAGAAAGTGCTTGTTTGAGGTTACTGCTGCCAAAGGTGGTTCAACCAGTTATTAAAACATTGTGTATGTTTAATGGGCATGTTCAAAAAAAGATCAATCAAGATCCTGATTATTTGTGTTGTATCAGCTTAGAAATACTGTTTGTTGATATTTGACTGGTGAAGATCAAATCACATTTCATGACCAAATTATGCAAGAAACCAGGAAATTGCACACAGTGCTGTTACTTTTTCTTGCAACTGTATGCTGTATTACTACAATATTTGCTGGTGATAAAATCTGTTTCACCAAGAGTGATGAACATTTTAGAAAACTAGACTGTTGAGTGTACAAGTCCTACATGCAAGCTTTTCATCATTAGAGAGTACAGCCCAGGAACCCTTCTCCTTCTCCTTCAGGGACTTCTGCACTGGACTCAGGTTCTGCACATAGGACACTTCTGGCAGGGGGCTGACCCGGCTGTCAAAGTAGGCAGGGAGAGAGTAGCCCTCAACTTTAGCAACACCTGCAGGGGATGACAGTGAATGACTCATCAAACACCTACGCCTTCTTTTGTGTCAACCTTCTCTAGAAATTCCTACCATATCTGAAAGGTCACATGTATTCTACAACTATGATTATTTAGTTTACTGTTTTTAACACTATATTTTGAAAGAGAAAGCACTACAATGACCGCTATGTTGGCTGTCATCCATATCACCAATGGTATTCCCAAGTCTTTGAAATTTGTTGCTTTTTTAGAATAATTGGTATAATGCATACAAATTATTGGTGTTTTGTTGCACCTGATGAACTCAAAACCTTTCTACTATTAAATTACCTTAAACCAAACTAGGTTAACTGTGAATAGTCTAATTCAAAAAATTTTACAAACACAGAAAGGTTGTCTAGATTTAGCTGAGAATGTGCTAACCCATGGAATTAGCACTGCATTTTGCTGTGTACTCTCAGCCTATAGTGAATTATTTAATAAAAATATTTACTATATCACTTGAGATCTCCACATATATTAATGTGCATGCAGTTAATACATATCTGGCAGGATCTAATTAACTGTGAAGTTTAAACTTTTGAAGTATATTTGTAGTACCAGCTGGAGTACCAGTTCAGGTCAAGATACTTGTGTTTACAATAGACTAGTACAAGAAACTATGTTGATGGAAGCCCTTTCACCAGTATTACATTTGAGATTTTGCATTTTAATTTAATCGAAACCTGGGTTTTTGAAAAGTCAACTGTGAAAAATCTCTCACATCTCATCTCTAGCTCTGTGACTCAAAAGTAATAATCAATGTACAAGCATCAGACATAAAAACAGTAATTATACAGGGTGCGAACTGGCTCTATTATCGAGTCACCAACCAAAACTGAAAATTCAAGTAATATTTACCGTGTCCTCCACGTACGCTCACAGATGCAGAGATGGCACGCTTGCCAAAAAGGCGAAGGGCTCTGATGGCCAGCATTCTGGGGAAAATGTCACAATAAAGATATTAATATACTCATTATGCACTTTTTCACACATTTAAAACACACTAACAGGTTTACACATCCTCCTTACAATAATTATGACCTAATCACAGTCCATTTTTCACATTACCATGAAAAGTTATCATGTTTGATCAGTGGACCACGTATATAAAAACATAAACATACATAGTTAGTGTTATTTAAGCTAACCTTCATAAAGCTGCACATATGTGTCTGGATCCTTAAAGAGTAATTAAGTCTTAGTTATATACCTTATTTTAAATACACCAATATTTGCATTTAGCGCCAAGTCACGCCGCTTGCACAAACTCTTTATTTACATGAGTGTTGACTTGGACTGTCTCATTGTGCATCCTAATGTAGTCTAGCAAAATCGTAGTGCTAAGCTAAAGTTAGCATTAGCCGCAAACACAAGGTCATAGCGCCCAGGAAAAACAAACCACAGAAATACCAGTTTATTTCACACAATACTGCAAATTCATGATTTTACCAGTGTCTGTGACTGCATTTAAATGACCATATGGTAGGCCACTGTGACATAGCTGACGTTACTGTCCCCGCAACACATCTGCATCCACGAATATGATGCTAGAGGCTAATGACACTGACAGCTAACTGCTAGCCGGTGAATTACCCAGTCTAGCTCCAAAACAAAGGCAAAGTCACCTGTACACAAGTGTTTATTTTCGGTTAAAACCGCCAAATAATCTTAGGCCGTTACTTAACTAATAATATAATATCATGGTATGTACAAAAGGCAAGGTGAATATGTTTCCTAATTTGTTAGAAATTAATAAAACTATACGACCTACTTTCGCTTCCTTGTTCCCGTCTACCGATGGTCCTAAAGGAAGTGCTACAGTGAATGAGAGCGGAAATATGTAAGTTACGCCACAAGGTGGTAAAGCCACGGAAGATGGTCTCATTTTACGATATTTCCATTCTGGTTTACGGCATCAGCGCGTGCATAGTACAAGGTGGAAGCAAGCTTAGCTTGTCGGTGATACTACTTCATCTAGCAAAAAGGACAGTCGTGTTTTTGCTAAGTGTAAAGCTTACATGTACTCGCTAGAAAGCTTAGCATCAACAACATATTCCGGCAGTAAGGTGACTGCTGAAGTAGAAATCTACTTTTCCCCGGGCATGAGAAGTAACGATAGCTAACGGAAGAAGTATCATATACCGATCCAGTCGATTGTCTTATAAACATGCCTATTCAACTGACAAGTCAGGCTTACTGTAAAATGCTTTTACATGCTGCCAAGTATCCCCACTGCGCCGTGAATGGATTGCTGGTGGCAGAAAAAACCAAGGAGAAAAAGAAAGACAGACACAGTGACCCAGTCTTGTGTGTAGACTGCGTGCCGCTGTTTCACGGTACACTTGCACTGGCACCAATGCTAGAAGTAGCTTTAACACTGGTAAGTAAAATATACACTCAGCTGCTAGTTTCTTGATTACACATTTTAAACAGATACAGTCTAACGTAACAGTCCTGCAAGGAAAAGTTTAGTTCTTATAAAAAGGGTATGCTAAATATTAGAATGACTTCTCTGTATAACAAAATACTCAGTAGCACCACAAACTACAGCTTTTATGCTAAAGTTGAATCAATAGCACTGCAAAGAAGTTTCAGAAAGTATAAAAGAGTGTAATATGTTGAAAATGAATTTGCACTGACCTTTCCTGTCCTTCTGTCCCTTCATGTTGACTCCACGGCCCCTGCTCCTATCTCAGATCGATACTTGGTGTAAAGAAAATAATTATATCATTGTTGGATATTATCAAGCCAATGAGCGCACAAAGGATTCAAGGTAGAGACAACCTAATGGACACTAATGCCCTGGTGTTTGGGGAAATGTTTCTGAATTCTGATGCATTAAACGTTTGGTTCTCTCTCGTGTAGACCCAACCAAGTTGCAGAAAAAGTGGCTGCCAGGATTTCTGAGAACTTCAGTGAAGCAGCAATTGTTATGGTAATAGCAAATAATTTAGACTGGGTTTATGCAGTATGCTGGTGGTTTTTGTCCATTTATGTCAAGTAGTACAAAGACATTACTGCTAACTAGGATTTTTTTAAAGCATATGGTACATTTGTAGTCGTACTAAGTAGCAAATATGTGCATCCCAGGTTCCAGGCAGCCACTTGTTTTCTCTCACTACAGAAGAGAAATCAATTGACAGAGTCTGAAAACCTTAAATAGGTGCTTTGTCACAGCAAGCATTTCACTCCAAAATCTGAGCTTTGATATCTACCTGCTGATCATTGTTGAATCTTAAGATGAACGTGTATAAACACAGAAAGGGATAATGTGTGTTTGCATTGATTAGGCTGTTAGTCAGCAATTTTCTGTTTTTCCCTCTAGGTGGACAACAGTAGATTAACACTGAGCTGTTTTGAGCCTATTGTGCTTATCTATGATCATCATGAAAACAAGTGGAAAAGCAGAGAAGTAACTTCGTAAGTGCCTTTGTGTTACTACAGCATTTCACTGCAGCCCCCCACTGTCATCTCTCCTGTTGTGATGGAAAATCAGGATCTTGAACTGGTACAGCAGTACAAATATCATGGCAACAAACTGTGCTTTGAGCCCCAGGTGGATGCTGTGTGTAAAATAGCACAGGAACGCATGCATTTTTGCCATAATCTTTGCAGTTTTAATGTCGATGCCACTTTTAAGAAAGTGTTTTATTGAGTCAGTTTTCTTTTATCTGTTGGGACAGGTTACTGTCTGTCAAACAAAAATTGTTTACAGGGTATTGCGAAGGTGTGTATTTATTACTTCTGACTGTGGCTCAAATTCCCCCATAAAGATATTGTACCTTGACCTCAGCAGGTCACACAGCTTCTGGCATACATTGTACAACATGTGGATAATTTTAATGTATTAATTGCCTAACTTATGTTTTTGTCTGTCTTCCAGTGAGTCTTTTGAGGACTGGAGCGAAGCACAGAAGATCACATCTGCTCTGTTAGAGGGAAGGTCTTACGAGAACTTGATTGACTTTGACAATCACTTGGATGATCTAAGAAACGACTGGACCAACCCCATGATAAACAAGTCAGTCCTGGATCTGTGCTAAGACCCTCAGTCAGGAGTATCCTGGACACATACACTGCTGCCATTTCAGCATGCATAATGCTACTTATCGTGTAGCACAGGAGTACAAAAATGCTGAACACATAGTCTTTGTTCCATCCAAAAGGTCCTGTACTGATGGGAGCTTGTGGAGCACTGACCAATTTGGCCAAAATCTCTTAAGGGCAAGCGCTTTATGTGCACTGCAGGAATGTGTCCATCTTCATAAGGTGACTAAGTGCTTTTGAATGCAATCTAAATGTTTTTTTTTTCTGCAATGGTTTGTGTTTATTCATAGTTGTGTGCATTAAATTAAATCCTAGAGTATTTGATTTATTTTTTCCTCTTAAATTTTATGGCCAGTAGCCATACAGAGATCAAGTCCTAAATGAAACTTAGGTGATAATAGTACTAGTGAGGTATGAAATAATATTCTTAATTACATTTTTAGTTTGTCTTAAGCCTTAGAACAACGTTAATACATCTAGGGCTGTAGAGAGAACTTTTGTGGGCATTAAATTAAAAAACACTCATTAAAAACTATAACATGAAAAGAGAAGGTAGGAATCACGTTTTGTTATATTCGATTATGTGTCACATGCCAACTGGAGTCCTATAGATGCACCAGCAATGAGAAAGGGAGGATTGACTCAACAGCTGTAAACATAAAAACCTTTGCTGCCTATAAAAACATTTCTCTGGTGTATGTGTCCTGTTATTGTCACTGGTGCAATTCAGAATGTAATTCTGGATGGTATCCAGTACATGTAGGTGTAGTGGCTCTTGATTGTTGCTCCGGGTGGTTTGTTCAGAGGTCGACACAGATTCATACAGGAATGCATGAGGTTTTTTTCTGTTTGACAAGTTTGGTGATTGTACTTTATATGGATTTAACCACTCTAAATCTGACTATTAATAACCATTGTTAAAAATTGAAATACTTAACCTAAGGATATGGAATTACCTTTGTATGTGAGATTAGAATTAATAAGAGTTAATTATAATTGTGTGGCTGTCACATTTTTACAGAACTTTTATGAACTCATTAATTGAAACCAACTTTTAAAATTATGCAAGACTCATTTGATAACACTTATTTTGCGAGATGTCTTATATCCATGTTTTGACAGTTGGAAACAATTGCTTAGCAGTCCCAGGACTGCAGCTTTTTGTTTTACTTTTGTATAGCGCTGTATCAGTAGTGAGTGTCACAGTTGATGACTATGACACCATGACTGAGTGTCATAGTACTGTTATCTGCTCTTATCAGGTAAAGTGGAGAATTATTTGAAAGGTAATTTTATGCCAGTTTGGATGACAGGATGTATATGCTAATTGACAATGAAGTAAAAATACAGAAAAATAAGTTTATTCAGATCACTTGCACATAATCTTCATCTGCTCTCAATAGGTCTACTGACTAATTAGAGTTTGACCCTTCACAGTCTAAAACCGTTCTAGGTGTTTTCAGCAAGTGATGATTCATGGTGCATGTTAAAATAAGAAACTATGCTGAGCTTTTCTCACTTGTACTTATTTTCTCTTAACTGTACTCCTGGACTTTACTTGTCTGTTTTCAGTTTTTCATAACAAACCTGTCATAAACTCTGCCCTTACAATGTCACATGCTTCTTTCCAACTTGCATATTTTATTTCTTGTATGAAAACCCTTTACAGTTAAAATCTCCTAATCATGTGCATTAATTAGGCTTTCTGCACACCATGATGGCAGATGTCTTTGGCTCCCATAGCAAGTTGTTTTATTCACTCATGATTACAGAACTTGCACAAAGTGTGGTGTTCATATTTCACCTGCTGCCTATACTGCTACTAGCCACTAAAAGTAAGGTAATTATTAGACGAGTGAGCATAGGAAAGAATATCAGCTGTTTTCATTTAAGGCTTCAACTAATCATGTTCATTATTGATTAAAACAGACTATTTTTCTAATAAATTGTTTTATAAACATCAGAAAATAGTGAAATCGTTGTTCATAATTATCCAGAATCCAAGTTGATTAAATGTTTTGTCCAACCAACAATCTCAAGCCCCAAAATATTACATGTATACATTAAAGAGAGGAAAAGCAAAGGTCAAATTGATTAGTTGCATATTTGGTTTATAACATACAGTGTATAAAATAATTTATGAAGCCAATGTTATAACTAAATACATTTTGATATTTAAAATACTTTTGCAGAAATAACATTTTGACTGCAAGTCATTAGCTTATTTAAGTATTTTTAGATTGCGGCGCTGCATCTTCAGTAAGGGATGAATACTTTCACCGCGGTCTAATGCATGGTTTATGTACTTGTACGCACAAGAAATACCGTAAACAACATTACAACAGATTTCAAGTGTAAGAAAATGACATGTAAACCTAGTGGCGTCCTAGTCTTAAACATCATAACACGGGGAATCTTGCCACCTAGTGGCGCTTATCTGCAACTGTTTATACTGTCACATGACCAACTTCTTCCTGTAGGCCCAGGCGAAGCAAACATTTAAGGAGCGGACAATATCGTCATAGCCAATGTCTTCCTTTGACGCGCAAGCTTATATTCCTCAAGCTATTGTTTAGCCATAACGTGTAGGGGTTTACGTCCACAGAGATACTTTGGAAAGTGCGCACAATGGTAAACTATGTTCACGCCACGTTTAGTTATCATGGTACTTGTGAGTGACGACACTGTCTACTCCTTCTATACCCTGTCGAGTCATGCGTCTTGAGGAGCGGGAACATTTTGCAGTGTGATTGAGAGTAACGCTTGGGAAATAAGAATATCAGCAATGGATCCTTCGGAGGTAGAGTTCCTGGCAGAGAAGGAGATGGTGAAGATAATACCAAATTTCAGCCTGGACAAGATTTATTTGATCGGTGTAAGTAAATCACTTGTAATTGTCGAGATGTTGTTTACCACACTGTTTAACTAGTTGGTTTTAGAGCGGGTGCTTCATAACATTAGCCATATTAACTCAGTACAGTTAGCGCATCCCAAACCCTGCCGTCTGAACGTGTGTGAGCTGCAACGTTTTGCACAGTCAGATAACATTATGTGTATTTGTGTCCGCAGGGCGACCTGGGTCCCTTCAACCCCGGACTGCCTGTTGATGTTCCCGTGTGGCTAGCTTTGAACTTGAAACAGAGACAGAAATGTAGAATCGTTCCCCCCGAGTGGATGGATGTTGGTAAGGTTCACCCATACACGTCATGCCACTGCTTCATGTTTTCAAGTCACCAAGAGTGTGAAATAAGTTTACTATCACTTGTAATCTCATTACTGGATTACTGAATATGGATGTGGTAGCTTTTTATGAGCTTAAACAATGGAGAAGGTGTGTCTATGCATTTCTTACAGAAAACAAATCCCACGAGAAGACAAAAGCCAAACAGGCAGTAGCACAGCTTTTATTTTGTAATAGATTTTGTAAAACAATGGAGCTCTATACCACAGGGGAATAACTTGTATCAGGCTCAGGCTACACAGAAAATACTTGTTTGTTGAAATATTTATCAATGGTTTTGAATATTTCATAAGATTTGTTGACAGTAAGATAAACAAAACGGTATCCTTTAAAGATTTCCCTTCCATAGTTCACCTCTCTAAAGCCAGCAATGCAGAAAAAAGCTTAAATATTTAGCAGAGCAACGATTTATTGCCATTTGTACTGATTTCTTCCATCTGAACATTTGGTTCAATAAATTGTTTGCTCCACCATGCAGAGAAACTAGAGGAGATACGGGAGCTTGAGAGGAAAGAAGATGCCTTTACAGCTGTTCCCAGTCCTTACTACATGGAGCTGACCAAGCTGCTGCTAAACCAGTGAGTGCTAGAAACTTAAATAATGCCCATGCAGAAATAGGACCTTATTGTGCCGATGTTGGTCAAAGTAATTAAACAGCCCGAAATACTTGCTAATCATCTGTGTATGTGGTGCTTACGTGACATGATTTGTTTGTGCAGTGCATCTGACAACATTCCTAAAGCAGATGAAATCCGCACACTGGTCAAAGACATCTGGGACACACGGATCGCCAAACTCCGCTGCTCCGCCGACAGCTTCATCAGTCAGCAGGAGGCTCATGCCCAGGTAAAAATGTTTGAGAATCCTATGCTGTATCTGTAGCATGAACAAACTACAGTTAACTAATTATGTTAACATGATATAACAGAGCTGAAACAATTACTCAAATAAATGACTTGATCAGCACAGGAAATTATAAAGCAGCATTACCTGATTACTTAGCAAAATGCCAAGAATTCAGCGGTTCCAGCTTTTCAAAAGGGAATCTGTGATGGTTTTCTTACTCTGCTGTGATTGCAAATGATATATACACAGTCAGGGAAAAAAATTATTTGAACCCCAGCTGATTTTGTAAGTTTGCCCACTAACAAAGAAATGATCAGTCTACAGTTTCAGTGGTAGGTTTATGTGAACAGTGAGAGACACAACAATAACAAAAAAATCCAGAAAAATGCATTACAAAAAAAGTTATAAAGTAATTTGCATTTTCATGAATGAAATAAGTATTTGATCCCTTTGCAAAACGTGCTTTCTCTGGCTCCCAGGTGTATTTTATACAGGTAACGAGCTGACATTGGGAGCCCTCTCAGCTC